CCCGCAGCCAAGGCCTGCCGGCTTTTACCTGGCTACTCCGAACCCTTCCCAGGCCCCCAGTTCCACTCCCAACCCCTCAATCCATGGGACAAGGGCTCTGCCCGACCCTGGTTTTCTCTCCAGTGCTGGAATTGAACCAAACTCCTCTCTCTGGCAAGGCCCCATCCCCTCCCACCTTCTGCCTGCAGTCCCGCTCCCTTCAGCACTGGTGACAGGTTCGGGGACTCTGAAGTTTCCCATCTGGCTTCTTGTTACCCAGTTCTCAGCCAATGGATCACCTCCTGGGGGTGGCCTTCCCTGGTCAGCTGAGCCCTGTGGCCTTCCTGCCGCTATTAAGCCCCCTCCTGAAATTCTCTGATGGGCCCTGGAACTCCAGGGACATTGCTGGACATTTCTTCACTTGCTCACAGGCTCCGCTCCTGTAGGCAGGCCCTGTCGGGTGGCACCGACCTGGCTGCAGCTCAGCACAGCACACCTTCCTCGTCCTTCCTGATTTCCACCTGAGGGGCTCCCAGCTTCTTAAAAAAATACAGAAAGTGGGAAGAGAAAAGTTGCAGTGACACACTACACCCCCCTAAATGTAACTCCATCTTCAAGAAAAGTCAACACAATAATTCTTTGTTTCAGAACAGGTGCCAAGAGAGAAACCACACAGCTTTTCCTCCCTAGGAAACAGTAACAACCACTTCAGAGCAATCACGGCCCGGCCACGCACAGCCTGGAGGAGCTCGTGTCCTGTTAGGGTGTCTGCTTTGCCTCCGATTATCTGGCAAATAAACCAATTTAGGAGCCCAGCAGGGTCTTTCTGGCCACCTCTCCAGGGCCCTGGCTGGGCCCGTCCTGTCTTCATTTCCATACAGCCAGCATCCTCATTGAGACGGAGAAATGTCATTATTTACCAAGAAAGCAAGGTCTGAAAATGGCAATTACTCGGCGGGTCAGCAGAAAGCCCCAGGATACTTCTCTCCGCAGGATTCGGCCGGCAGCTCGGAGCTGCAAGACGCAGCCAGTGCCTACCCGTCAGGTTCCCACCCCCCATGAACTCACATCCCAGTGGTTTACAAAAACGAGTACATATGCCCCCCACACAAATACATATTCATGTCTCAAAATGTAAGTCTGTTGCATACTTTGTAAAACACACATTGGAAAGCGGCATGTAAAACGCAGATATAAACATGGCACGATTTTCCTGCCTGCTCTGTGGGCCCTGGGGACTTAATTCCACACCCCCGGGCTGGAAGGAGACAAGCTCCCTGCACCACTGACCCTAGGACTGACCATGGGACTCACTTGGCCAATGGGATTTTGTGGGTCTGACCCAGGCAGGAGCCCTCAGTGAGCTCCGGAGGTTGAGTCTGGTGTCCTGTGATTTACCATGGCAAGACGGTGCCGGGAAGTAGCTAGGCAAGAATGCACGGAGACGCGGGGAAGAGACCTGAGCCCACCGCGGCCCAGAGCAGCGAGCATGGCAGACCCGTGGGCAGGCACACCCATGCTCCCTGCTGTGGGCCACAGAGGCTGGGCTGCTTGTCAGGCAGCACCCGTGCAGGGAGAGCTGACTGGCTCTGATTCCCGGTCCTCACTCTGCCCTCCAAAGTTCCACATGGACGGTACTGTATCCCAAAGGGCTCAAGGGAGGGAAAGCTCGCCAGCCAATACCCAGCTACCTCTAATCAGCCACAGCCAGAAAACTGGCCTGGAGATGGGGTGCCCCATGGCCTGGCTCACAACCAGCCTGAGGACAGGGCTCAGCCCCTTGCCCAGAACTGTCCTCCTCCTCCACCAGCTCGGTCCCAGCTCCCATCCCCGTCCCTAAGCCAGGAGCTGGCGGCGACTTTCGGTAAAGGACCAGGTAGTCCATATTTTCGGCTTAGCAGCCCCGGGGCATCTGGGTGGTTTCACATATTTTTCTTTTTTGTTATAACCCTTTAAGATGATTAAAGCCTAGCTTAGCTTCCTGGCGATATAAAAGCAGGCCACTCGGCCTAGAACCCGGAGCATCCACTCCTGTATCCACCTTCAGGAAGGGGCATGGAGCTGACCACGCGCTGGTGAGAGAGGTCCGTGCACTGCATCGATCCACGGCACCCCCACGCCAAATGGCCCAGGGGGGCATGGAGGGCATCGTGCCCCTGCCACCCCCTCGCCCTGGCCCTGCACCCTCAGCCCGATCCCCACCCTCAGCCAGAGGGTCCTCAGGAAACCAGGTGTATGGGGTCTGCTCAAGGCCTCTCCTGCTATCTTCACTCGGGCAGGAGTCTGGCTTAGTCTGGGGACACTGTGGGGCCTTCTAGGCTGCTGGGCGCTCTGACAGGGGAGCAGAAAGGGGCTTCCAGGGCCCCAGGGAGGGCTGCAGGACCCTGACTGCAGTGCCTGCTGGGCTGGACTTCCTCCTGAAACAAGAAGGAGGCCATGGCATTTGGTTTGACACCTTTGCTGCCAGCTTCTGGGTCCTCCCAGGAGCCTCGTCCAACTGTGGGACCTGCAGGCTGGGGTTCAGAGGCCAGGCTGGCCAGGGCCACATGCTTGGTCAGTAAGTGGCAGGGCCCGGATTTGAAACCAAGCCCCATCCTCTGCCCACATGCCTCCTGGCACACAGACATGTCCTGCCCTGGGGTTTTGTCCCTGGCATCCCTGGTCTAGAGTGGATGGAGGAGTGGGGAATGCCACCCTGAGCTGCCATGGCCAGACCCCGTCTCTCCCAGAAGACGATGATCTCGCCTGGAAATGCACCAAGAACAGAGCGGGAACCTCATGTCCTCAGGTCCCCAGGGAGCCGGGCCATGTGGTGGCAGCACAGCCTCCCCCGCCCTACCCCACCCCCACCCCGGGTGTCTCAAAGGCAGAGGAACGAGAGCCACAGAACAATCCGTTCCATCGGGGCCTCTGCCAGCACCAAGCCATCTGGCTCAAGTCAGCGGGACCTCCCCGATTCCTGCCAGACCGGGAGGCCGAGGGGGTTTTTGTTTGGGGTAGCATTCTTCCTGACTACAGCCATTACTAAGAGCTCCTGCAGGAGAGGTACCCCGTCCAGCCACGTCCAGAGGGAGCCCCCGTCCCAGGTCCCGCCCCTCTGCAGGCGACAGAGCTCAGACAGCGCCAGCCCAGCCAGGCCCCGCTGCCATTGCCCAGCCAGCGCCAGCACGTCTGGGGGCTGTCTCGGGTCTGCGGGGCAGCTCCCAGCCACTCCTCCACACACAGATGTGGAGCTCCTCCTTTCCCCCGCGTAAACCGTCGTGGAGCACGGAAAGCCGCCGCAGTGTGCGTGTGTGTGCGAGCCGCCTGTGCCCATGGGCGGCTGCAAACAAAGGCACTCTGTCCTCCCCGCAGCGCAGGGCACAGGGAGCCGGAAGCCTTGGCCGCAGATGAAGACAGACATGCTGTTGACATGGAAACCCAATAGTTAAAAATTCTTCAGGCGGTTTCGAAATGTCAAATTTTGATAACCAGGTTGGAGTCCTTGTTCCTCCATAGTGAAATGTTTGGCAAAACAAGCCCTGCCATGAATTCCTGACAACGCGTCAGCCGGGGCGCACGCCTGAGCCATATGTCCCTCGACGGGCGGTGCGCGCTCATTACCCACCCGCGCCGGCTCCCGGTGCTGACGCGCTGTCAGGGCTGAAAGGACGGCCTGCCTCTCCGGGCTCGTCTTTTATGGACATATAACTTGTTGGCGGACAAAGGACATCCACTTGTTTCCTGGCTTGCCGAGAGGAAAGCCCTCTGATAGACAATTCTCCCTCTATGTTGCACCACAAAAACCCGGGACTGCTGGCATTTGCCTTGAGCCGGGGACGGTAGGTTTCCAAGTCCCTGCTAATTAATTGAAACGTGTGTGTGTGTCGGGGCGTGGGGGACGCATGAAGACAGAAACCCACACCTACATATGGACACTTGCCTCTGCCAAGTTAGTTTCAGGAGACGAAAACCAACCCATGGGGGAACTCGGTGTGTGGGGCACAAAGTGGTGGCACAGTCCTGTGGCAGGGGTTCGACAACACAGCACTCCTGTGGAGGGTGTGTCTGTGTGTGCCCCTGTGCAGCCATGCATGAGTGCCCATACATGTGTGTGTGCAAATGTGTGTGTGTGATGTGTGTGCAGTGTGCTCACACCTACGTATATGCACATACCTGCAGTCTGTGTGCAGCCATGCATGAATGGTCATATGCTGGTGTGATCGTGTGTGTGATGTGTGTGCAGTGTGCTCACACCTACAGAGATGCACATGTATGCATGAGTGCTCATTACATGTGCTGGTGTGACCGTGTGTGATGTGTGTGCAGTGTGCTCACACCTAGAGATGCACATGTATGCATGAGTGCTCATTACATGTGCTGGTGTGACCATGTGTGATGTGCGTGTGTGTGACTGTGTGTGATGTGTGTGCAGTGTGCTCACACCTACAGAGATGTACATGTATGCATGAGTGCTCATTACATGTGCTGGTGTGACCGTGTGTGATGTGCGTGTGTGTGACTGATGTGTGTGCAGTGTGCTCACACCTACAGAGATGCACATGTATGCATGAGTGCTCATTACATGTGCTGATGTGACCGTGTGTGATGTGCGTGTGTGTGACTGTGTGTGATGTGTGTGCAGTGTGCTCACACCTACAGAGATGCACATGTATGCATGAGTGCTCATTACATGTGCTGGTGTGACCGTGTGTGCATGTGTGTGACTGTGTGTGTGATGTGTGTGCAGCATGCTCACACTTACAAATATGCATATACCCACACAGCTTGTGTGCACACGAAGGCATGAGTGCTCATACATGTGCCTGTGTGAATGTGTGTGTACATTGTGTGTGCAGCGTGCTCACACCTACAACATATGCATATAGAAAGCGGACCTGCTCTCTCAGTGCAGGTCCGCTCTCAGTGCCCCCTAGAGCCGGGCCTCCCCCTGCCCCTGTTCCCAGGGTAAAGGACAGTGGAGGGGGCACGGCCTCTCCTTCAACCTCCCCACACCCCCGCAGGGCAGCCCCATCAAGCACCTGGAGGAGACATTCCGGAAGTGAAGCTGGAGGAAGAGACATTCCCAGAAGTGAAGCTGGAGGAGGAGCTGCTTGGCTCTGGGCACAGGCACTTTCCAGGGCCCTGTGGGCTCCACTGCAGCCTTCCTCAGGTCCTGCCCTCCAGCCTGCCCTGCCCACCCACCCAGGCTGTGTCCAATGCTCATCTGTGACATATACACACCCATGTGATACTGAAGTCAGACATTTCTCCTAAACCATCCCATCCTCTCTTGTCGCACTACTGTGCAGGTATTATTTATAAATGTGCATCTCACATGCACACTTATGGGCAGGTCACAGTGTGTGGGAGTGGGACTGTGTGTGTGGATGAAAAGACACACTTTTAAGAGTCACACGCACATACTACAGTGGTGGGTGATCATTTGCTTAAAAACCTGTATAAAGGTTCCACCTCCCCTGCAAAGGCACCTGTGCCCAGAGCAGAACGTTCCCAGGTAAGGGCTGCTGGGCTGGGATCCCAGGGTGAGAGGCCCCAGGGCCCAGCCTTGAAGAGGGGCTGCTCAAGGTTGGGGAGAGGTGATATTCCCGAATGTTCCCTGTTCGCTGGCTGGGGTGACAGAGCTGGCCGGGGACCCACGAGTGACCAGCAGAACTAGGAAGGAGAGGACAGAGGAGCTAAGACGTCTGTGCCGAGGCTACTGCTCAGCCTCCAGGACCCTCCAGACAAACGATGGGCACTGACCTCCATCCCTCCAAGGCCAAACCTCCAGTCTCTGAGCGCAGCCGCTTCTGCGGCTCCCAACCCCGTGTCCCGGACGTGCAGCAGAGCCCGCTTTCTCAGTGCCGGTCCGCTCTCAGTGCCCGCTAGAGCCGGGCCTCCCCCTGCCCCTGTTCCCAGGGTAAAGGACAGTGGAGGGGGCACAGCCTCTCCTTCAACCTCCCCACACCCCCGCAGGGCGGCCCCATCAATCACCTGGAGGAGACATTCCGGAAGTGAAGCTGGAGGAAGAGACATTCCCGGAAGTGAAGCTGGAGGAGGAGCTGCTTGGCTCTGGGCACAGGCACTTTCCAGGGCCCTGTGGGCTCCACTGCAGCCTTCCTCAGGTCCTGCCCTCCAGCCTGCCCTGCCCACCCACCCAGGCTGTCCTGGACCTGCTGCTCAGCTGACACAGCCCCTCCTCTCTGCCTCCACACTCCTCTGTCCTAGAGCTGGCCATGCAGGGTTACCCCCATGGCAGCCCTCTGCGGACCCCCGGAGGAAGGCCCGGCCCCACCTCACCTGCCTGTGCCCTCTCCTGCTTGACCCACCTCACCCGCCTGCCCTACTTCACCCGCCTGCCCCTCACTGGCCTATCAGCCCTAACCTGCCTGACCCACCTCACCTGACTTATTCATTTCACCTGCCTGACCCACCTCACCTGACTTATTCATTTCACCTGCCTGACCCACCTCACCTGACTTACTCATTTCACCTGCCTAACCCACCTCACCTGATTACTCATTTCACCTGCCTGACCCACCTCACCTGATTACTCATTTCACCTGCCTAACCCACCTCACCTGATTACTCATTTCAGCTGCCTGACCCACCTCACATGACTTAATCATTTCACCTGCCTGACCCACCGCACCTGACTTACATATTTCACCTGCCTGACCCACCGCACCTGACTTACTCATTTCAGCTGCCGGACCCACCTCACCTGACTTACATATGTCACCTGCCTAACCCACCTCACCTGACTGACTCATTTCACCTGCCTGACCCACCTCAACTGACTTATTCATTTCACCTGTCTGCCTGTGCGCAGAGCAGAACGTTCCCAGGTAAGGGTTGCTGGGCTGGGATTCCAGGGTGAGAGGCCTCTGCTTGACCCACCTCACCTGCCTGTCCCCCTCACCTGCCTGTCCCCCCTCACCTGCCTGGCCCTGCCTCACCTGCATTCTTGCCCCTGCTGTGAGGGTAGCAATGAAAGGAGACCCTGCGAGCTCTTCTGAAAGGAGAGCTCCTTCTCTACGTCATCAGCCCAGCTCCAGGAAATGCAGGTGCTGAGGGATGCTTGCTAACTTTGGGGTGCTGACCCACTCTGACCCCACAAACCATGGCCCATGCTCTCCACAACATGCCAGCCTCATCCCTTCCACCAAACATGGTGACAACAGCTGTCATCCAGCCACATGGCTGCTGCCTCCCCATTTTCTCGTATTTCTGGACACTGACTTCTCTGCGCAGCAAAAAAGGACAGGTTGGAAAAGGAAAAAAAAGGTTTGGGGAAATGCAAAAATGTCCTTCTCTGGGCAACAGCTCAATATGAAATTTCATTCTGGCCAGGGACCAAGATGCTCAGAGGGTGGCCTCGAGTTGGGAAAGGGTCCCTGGGGTGTCCTTCTCCCAGACCCTTCCAGATCCTTCTACAGTCATCTCCTGAGGGCCTCACTGCTTGGGGTGCGACCCCTTACTGGCGTTTCAGAATGTGGTGGGATCCAGCTTTGACTCAAATAACCAAAATACATCCTGCCGACATCTTTGATGGGCAAGGCCCCAGCTGGACCTCAGACGTGCAGCCTGGAGACCAAGACGCTGAAGCCCTCGTGCTGAGAGAGCCCCACGGGGGCCTGCCCTGGAGTCCTCACCCTGTGCCAGCCCTGCCACCTCCGTGCCAGCTGTGCTGGGGTCGCCTTCTGCAGACACAGGGCTTGGACACCACAATTCTGGGGTCCCAGGTGAGAGCCAAGGGTTTGACGGCTGCACTCCTCCCCCTCACACCTAACGGGAGACCAGGGCATCGATGAGACTTCCGTTCTTTGCTCCTTGTGCCCTAATCACCCCCGGTCCCCTCACCCTTCCTCAGGGCCACCTCCTCAGACCCCAGCCACCCCATCGGGATGGGCGGCAGCGGGCATAGGCCTCCCAGGGACTGCTCCCAGGGCCTCTGCTCCCAAGGCGGACGCTGCACAGGGGCACCTCTGCACCCACCTGTCAGCAAAACCCTGTCCCCTGGCAGCATTTAGGGAAACAGCCTTGGAACTCAGCACCCTGGGCTCACTTAAAGCTCTGCCACCCATGGGCGGTGGTGGGACCTTGGCAAGTGTCTGGATGTCTCTTGGCCTCAACTTGCTCACCCTGGACATGGAGAAGATATGATCTCCCTGTTGCAAAGACAGTGTGTGTCCTGTGTCCTCCAAATCCTAGGACTCATTCCTCAGATGCTCCCAGCCCGTCTTCCGATGGGAGCTGGGGCAGGGGCGCCATTCCTTGCTGAAAGATTTCATGCAGAAGTGGCCCAGCTCCTTCCAGGCCTGACCTCCTGTGCCATCCTCTTCTTCTTCCCCTTTCTTGGTGACCGGGAAGCCATGTGTAAGATGGCGGCTGCATTAGAGGCCCCCAGCGACTGGGTGGGCCACACCCTTTGCCTGCAGTAGGGCAGATGCTGGACGTGACTTCAGTGTCTGCAGCCTGAGGTCTCCCATCCCACCTGCCGCACTAACCCCACCAGCGACAGTGCATAATCGTTAACTGATCCCAATATTTTAAAACCTGAGACCAAAATACACAAAGAGACTATCCTGAAGACACAATAAATCCTTGCTGGGTACACAAACAGCCTTAGGATTGAGCAGGAGGGAAATGGTCTCTTGAGAACCTGTAATACGTATTTCCAACATGTACACTTCGCCGGAAAGATCAGAGCTGTCAGGACTGGCCACAGCCTGAAAAGGTGCGGAGTAAATAAAAGGTAAATATGCTGAAGCTTAGACGTACGGCCTCCGTAATCTCCTAAAGAGTACCAGCCGTGCAGCCCGGAGGCAAGGGCCACATTTGCATAATCTCTGAGAAAAACCCCTGGAAGCCCAGCTTATGATGGTTCTGAGGAGAAGAAAAGGCAAGGAGATCCCTCCTCTTCATCAGAGAACAGAAAGCACCAGGGGGTTCCTCGTCAGGAGGGAGGCAGGGTGCCCAGGACAGGGCTCAGAAGGGAGCCACCCACCTTCCTCTGGCTGCACAGTGACCAGCTGTGCAGACAGGAAATGGGAGCTCAGCTACAGAATCAGATCCAGAAGTGTCGCCAGCTGTGCCGGCATGTGCTGGGCATGAAGTCCTGTCCGTGGTGTCCCTGACTGTGGGACGTCCACCCTCTCCTGCCCTGCCACGCCCATCAGTCCTTCCAGGGGAGTTGAGGGGCGGGGAGGCACCTGCTGTGTCTTCCTCCAGGATCAACCTCCCAGCCTCGCCTCCCAGGATTAGAGAGTGCAGAGTCCTGGGGGCAGTCCCAGACAACCTCTCTGTACAAACTGCTTCCTATTCCCAAGAGGCATGTGGTCTCTGGCGCGAGACTGACAGCTCAGCATTGGGGCACGCTGGGGGTCTAAAGGCATTTCGCCTGCTGGTGAGAAAGGGAGGGTCCCGGCTAGAGTCCCCTGCACAAAGCTGGTAAGCTGAGGGGTGAAGGCCAGCTACCCCGACCTGACGCCAATGCCAAACCAAGTCAGTAACCCACATGTCAACTGTACCTGCAGGGAAGACCCACTGCGGCCTCAGGGACCTCAAAGCTCACCAGATCCCAAGCCACAGGGCACCGGGGCGGGTGTCAGGAGCTGCCTGCAGAGGCTGCAAGATTCCCATTGTCCGCAAGAAAGAAGCCCCTCTCACTGTCCGCTCCAGGAGGGGACAGGCAGGCCGGTGCCCCAGGCCTTTCACCTGCCCAGTCTTCATCACAGCCCCACCCCCTGCCCAGGACAGGCTCCCAGGAGGCAGAGCCAGGGCAGGACAAGCCTGGGGCTGGGGCTCAGCTCCTGCGGCTACACGTCTGAGCTCCATGAAAGGCTGAAAGTGTTGGCCAGGGGCCGCTCAGCTCCTCACAAAAGCAGAAGGTCCCCCACGCAGACCCCCACTTCCTGGATCTGAAACAGGCCCAGCCACGTCGGCAGGCAGTGTGGCGGCTCCCGGCTACTCAAGCCACCCTCTGACTGATTCCCTGAGGCTGCCTACACACCCATGGCCAGCTCTTCCCGGATGGCATGTCTGTGAGTGTGGCCAGTCCCCTAACAAGGCTGGGGGCAGGGCAGGCAGGGGCACCGCTTTGCACGGGGCAGTCCTTGTACAATGGAAGCTCAGTCTTTCATGTCACTGTGACATCTCAGCCACTTTCATCTGGAACCCAAGGGACATTGCTCCCCTGCTTTGTCGATCCCCATAGCCACACGCACTGGGGTCACCTCTCCTGCCCCAAACCTCATTTCTTGGGAACTCCCTCTGCCACTGTGCCCCTGAAGGGGTGGGCCTGGTGGTCAGGTGTGGACCAGGTGGCCATGACCCCTGGCCCAAAGACAGCAGGTCCCATGTGACATGGACGGTTGGACAGGAAAGACGGGAGCCCATTGGAGGAGGGTCACCAAGCAGAAGGGATGGGAGGGGAGGGAGCCAGGGGAGCCACTGGTTTCTTGCCCACCCTCTAGCAGGGGAGGAGATGGGAGGAGCCCTGTTCACCCTGGTTTCCACCCTGGGCCTCAGTTTCTCTCTCTGTAAACCTACAGCAGGTTCCCCTGAACCATCCCAAGGTCCCTGGCCAGAGTCTCCAGTGGTCAGCCAAGACTTGAAGCCAATCCTTTCAGTTGAATGCCGGCCCCAGGACAGCACCCCGGTGCATTCCCTCCTTGGGCTCTGGCAGGTGACGGCCCCTGTGCCCTCCGGACATTCCTTCACTCTGTGTTTTCTCAGGAAGACATTTCAGGAACAGGCAGCACCAAGACTCCCGATACCCCATTTGTCAGACGACCATGCTCGGATGTCACAGGAAGGGAGCAGAGGAGACTTACACTCAATTTCTCATGCATGCAAAAATGGAGGTGATGCAGCCCCAGCCGCCTCCTCTTCGAGTCACCATGGAGACAGAGCAGGTGGTACAGGTCATCAGCACAGGAGGGTCTGCAGACGCCAGGGCTTCCCTCACCCTACTCGGCCCAGCCCCACAAAGCAGAGGGCCCACGGCCCCTGCAGCCACGAGCTCAGTCCTCAGGGAGTGTCCAGAGGGCCCACAGCCTCTGCAGCCACGAGCTCAGTCCTCAGGGGGTGTCCAACGCCCCGTGAAGGGAGAAGGGAGGTCCCATATGCCCCAACTCCCACCTGGAAGCTCTTTCTTCCAGAGTTTTCCTCCACATGTGCCTTCCAGGCTCACTGTGACTCAAGGGCTACAACCGCTCCCACAGCACACCCATGGGAGGACGGCGGTCTGAGGGGGCCTGACCACACACTCTCCCCGTCCGCACACCCAACCCGTCATCCTGTCTCTATGGAAAATCCTGATTCTGCCACAGTTCGGCCTGGTCGGGGAGCCCTGGACTTCTGCCTGGACACCCCCGTCTCCTGCCTGGACACCCCCGTCTCCTGCCTGGACACCCTTGTCTCCTGCCTGGACACCCCCGTCTCCTGCCTGACACCCCATCTCCTGCCTGACACCCCCGTCTCCTGCCTGACACCCCGTCTCCTGCCTGGACACCCCCGTCTCCTGCCTGACACCCCCGTCTCCTGCCTGGACACCCCCGTCTCCTGCCTGACACCCCCGTCTCCCCTGCCCCCCCCTGGACACCCCCGTCTCCTGCCTGACACCCCCGTCTCCTGCCTGACACCCCGTCTCCTGCCTGACACCCCCGTCTCCTGCCTGACACCCCCGTCTCCTGCCTGACACCCCCGTCTCCTGCCTGACACCCCCTCCTCCTGCCCGTCTCCTGCCTGACACCCCCGTCTCCTGCCTGACACCCCCGTCTCCTGCCTGACACCCCCGTCTCCTACCTGACACCCCCGTCTCCTGCCTGACACCCCCGTCTCCTGCCTGGACACCCCCGTCTCCTACCTGACACCCCCGTCTCCTGCCTGACACCCCCATCTCCTACCTGACACCCCCGTCTCCTGCCTGACACCCCCATCTCCTGCCTGGACACCCTCAACAGCCTCCACCTGGATTTCTCTGCCTCTATCCAGGTCCTAGGCATGCAGAGTCAGAGCAAGCTCTCAAATGTGAAGGTGGTTTAAGCAGTCACTGCCCTGCTAGGGCCCTTCAGAGGGTTCTAGTGCCTTCCAGGGCAAGCCCCTATCAGGCAGCTACCCTGTGCCCCACCTGCCTGAGCCTTTCTCCAGGCTGGGCTTTCACCTGAAATCTACCCCCTCCTTCTCCAGGTCACAATGGGACTGTGTCTCCCAGAGCAGGGCCTCTGGGCCTCAAGGAAAGCCAAGCCAGGTCAGGGGCTCCACAGACCCCCAGCTTCTCTCCCAGTGCTCCTGGTGCAAGCACACAGCTGCCGAGTGGCCCACCGGCCCTGAGTGCACACTTGGGGCCACTCTGCTTTCAGGGTGTTCCTGGTTCTTTCCACAGCCCTGACTTGCAATCACACTCACACCCTGTCTTTGTAGACTCAAAGCGTCGGTTAATTATGCAAACTACCTAAGCACCTGACAAGCCACAGTCCCCGAGGCCACATCACAAGTGGGGCAGGTGCACAGGCTCAGACTCCTGGGCTCAAGCCCTAGGCTCCTAGGGGGTGAAGACTACCCTTGATGGGCCCCGTGAAGGAGTGTGGTGAGGAGGGTGCGCAGAGGGCGGGGCTGGGCGCAGTGGCTGGAGGCAGCCAGTGCAGGGTGCAGAGGTGCTGGGCTGCAGGGGCCACCCTTCCAGGGGTGCCTCCTCACTATGGCCATGGCTATGCACGGGCACTGGGGAACGGACCCTCAGAGCAGACCTGTTTCCTGGAGACATGATGCACCCAGGTGGCACCGACTCATGCCCCAAGGCCCTGCTGGGGTCCTCGATGCAACTCCGCAGTAACCCCCAAGCCCACTCTCATCTCATGCCACTCAAAGCTTGTCAGGTACCAGGACCACACCAGGCTCCTAATTCATGGGTTTCCGGGGCCTCTGAACTTCAGTGTCCTTACCTGAGAACCAACGTCATCATCACCATCAGAGACATCGGGGGGCCACTGGAGGAGGAGAAGGGAGGCACCGGGGGGCCCAGGCGGCCAAGTCAGCTCTGCCTATGCCACTTTCATCTGCCCGTCTGGTGCCCCGCCCCAAGGGTAACGTGACATTCCCGATTCCAGAGAGGAGAAAAAGTAGTAAAAGTGCATCTCAGAAGTGCCTGAAGAAGAGCGTGCCTGGGAAGGCAGGATTGGACCTGTTAGGGCTGCCCGAATGTAACAGGGCCTGAAGCCTTGTGCCAGGCTCCACCCACCCGTGAAACACCCAGTGCATCTCAGGCACCTCCCTCTGACCTCCTGGCCACCATCACCGGACCCACAGCTGCTCCCCTCAACCACACGACAGAGGCTGACCCAGGAAGGGTCTGAGCTGGGGCAGGGGCCAGCAGAGCCCTGGATCCTCCTGCCACTTCCAGCCTGGGTGGGATGCGGCTTCCCACAGGGCTTCCGACAGGCCCTGCGGTGGGACCTCACCTCCCTTCCAGGCTGCCTCACAAGAGCTGCAAGGAAGCTGAAAGTCAGTACCTGGCCTGACTCTCTGCCCCAAGGACTGTGCACACATGTCCTTCCTGAACGTTCCCGTCTGGAGGCCGTGCACGGAGAGTGGCCAGCTGTCTCTGGGCAGCTGCAACAGCTCAGGAGTCCACCTCACTGTCCACGGTCCCGTTGCCCCTCACCCCTGCTGCCCTGGCCTTGCCCTGCCCCATAAGCAGGTGCCAGGCGACACCATGGCTGCTCATCCATTCAGAAACACAGGAGTAGCAGCCGCACTGTAAGAACTGGGCAGGTGCAGGTCTCAGAGATCCCCTAGGCCGGGGTGCAGTTGGGTTCTACGTGCACCTTGACATTTACAGAGGAAGAAGTGACGGCCAGCCAGAGGGGGTGCCACGGGCATCATCTGGCATCACCCCAGAGCCACAGCCTTCAGAGGGTGAACCACATGGCCTGGTCAGTTGGCCCAGGGGAGGCCAGCAAGGGCCCACAGAGGCACTAGGCGGGACTGTTACAACGAAGTCCCTTACATCTGAGTTCTTCAAATGCACACATCTGACTTTCAATAAATGGGAAAATTAAATTTATGGTGGGCCTCATAATGAGATACAACATTTTAAGGGAAAGGAATCACTTAAAGCAAATCCCAAGGACAACTGGATACCCTCCCCCTTTCAGAGGAACTGCAGTCCCATCTCACAGTTGATGTCATTGTTAATTTTTTCTAATGACACATTCAAGAAACAAAGCAAAACAAAAGAACCATCAACTCAGCATTTAGAACAACATATTTTGACAGCATATTTTTAAACTAATTCCCCTCTTCCAATGAAAGTGCCGTCTTGCAATCTTTCTAAGTCTATTCAGTATATACAACATGATTATCTCATTCTTCTCATGAGGAAAACTCCGAGATACATAATGGCAGCGTGATCGACATGCAAATGCACTCAGGGACATTGTCTCTTCTTGTGAGGACCGGGAAGGAGGGACCAAAAAGGGTGCACCCGCAGGAGCTCTGGGGGCAGCGGCTGCCCTTTGTGGTCAGCCTCATGAGGCCGACACGCAAAGTTAACCGGAAGTGAGCAGGGTGGCACACAGAAGCCGGCCCGCCTCTCCTTTGTGGACCAGGGACTCTGAGGGCTCCAGGTGGCCAGTATACAGATGTGTCTGGGGCGACAGCTCCTGGAAGGCTTGGCTGGGGCACCTGCTCCCACTGTGCTCCCCGAGAAGGATTTTGGAGCCAGCCAAGGGTACACAGTGAGGGATCCCACAGGTAGAAAGCTCCCTCGGCTCCTGGACAGGGTGCAGGAGACCTCCCCAAAGGCACAGATGGCACAGTCCCAGCTCAGGGCACCACACACAGATGGAGGAGGGCAGCAGGGTGGACAAAGAGAGGAGAGCAGATCGGGGTCCCAGCCCTGGACAGCCCCTTCATGCTGGGAGCTCCTGGACAGGGCCATGGACATGCACCCCTTAGTTTCTCCATTGGTAAGGTGAGGCCACTGGCTCCCCTGGCAGTGACCGAGACCACCCAGGAAAGGGTGAGTGCAGAGACCCCTGAAACCTGCCAAGGCTGGTGCCTGGTACGGATTCTCCAAATCTGCACTGAGGGGCACCTGGTGCCCTTGTCCAGCCTGACAACGATCTGGGAGGTCAGGGTGGCGGGAGTGGAGACCTCAGGACACCCCGTACATAGGTGGGGAGAATAAAGAGGGAATGAGCCGCGCACATCACCACACGCCTCTGCAGGGGCGACCTCAGGATGCCTGGTCCACAGGTGGGGAGAATAAGGAGGGAATGAGCCACACACATCTCCACACATCTGCAGGGGCGACCTCAGGACTCCTCGTCCACAGGTGGGGAGAGTAAGGTGGGAATGAGCCGTGCACATCACCATGCCCCCACAGGGGCCAGGAGGCAGGGTGGGCTGTGGATGGAGGCTCCGACTTCAAGCCATCCCATCTGTTTTGGGAGGAGGGTAGGGCTGATGTCTCTTCTATATCTTAGGCTGAGAATGTTCCAGAACTTCTTGGATGCCACTAAGGTCTTGTTTCAACTGCCAAGTGTCCAGCAGAGTGTCCCTGACCAAGTGTCCAGGCCAAGGTGCTGCTGGGCTCCTCAGAGTGGCCTTGGGGAATGAAGGGCAGAGTGTCTCCATCTCTGAGGTCTGCACGGAGCTCACATAAGCCCACGCCTGGAGGAGGAGCTTCCTCTCCACTCCAAATGCCAAAGGCACAGCCCAGCAGAGTCTCCCACCAGCCCCCAGGCTGTCAAAGCCATGCAGGCTTTTGAGACAGAATCCTGAGGCCCATGGAGATGAAGGCCCTAAGGTCAGCATCGGAAGCGGTGGGCTGCCAGTCGCACAAAGGAAATCTGGCCAGACGGGGGGAAGGAGAGAAAATCCCGAAAAAGCAGCCATAATGGACTAAAATAAGATCAGTGGCAATAAAAAATGGGGGAAGGCAGCATCGTGCTATCTATCTTCCCGCCCTGCTTCCGCCCTCTGAACAGGCATCACAGGCCGGCCCGGCCGCAGGGCAGGCTGGGACCACGTGCAGTGGCAGCTGTGGGCACCTCGCGTGGGCAGTCTGCAGTGCCTTCAAAGGCCAGTGCAAGCCGCCTGAGCCCCGGCACACTTCTCACCAGTCTCTCTGCAGGGAGGACCCTGCGTTCACACCCAAACTAGCCTTGCGTCTGCCTGGCCTATTTTCAGCTGTTGGGATCGTGCTTCCCACTAAAGCCTCTTGGTAGTAAGTCTGGGCTGCCCAGGAATAGGGGTTACTGGGAGTGGCTCCTTTGTGCAGCCCTGGCCCAAGGTGGGCACAGAGGGGCTAGGGTCAGTCCAGGCGGCTGACCTGGCCCAAGCAGGCCTGAGCCTAGGCCTAGGAGGGGCACCTGGGATGCGGCACCAAGCCCCATGTGGGTGAAGGCAGAGAGTCAGGGGCTAGGGGCAGCCTTCAGGGGTCCCAGGAGCAGAGGAGGCCCAACGTTTTCCATCCAAAGCCTCCTTCCTTCTCAAGTAGCCAAGAGCCAGGAGGTAAGT